CCAATCGGATTTTCGACCAATCATGTTTCGACTTCCTAACGAGCATAATAAGTGAACGCTCTCAGATTGGAAATCCACGTAACTAGTCCCCAGCAGCGCTAACAGTGCCTTCGAAGCGAAGTTCGTCCAGTAGTGCTTCTCGATTACCTGAAAACCCTTAATGCTTTGGATGGTACGTGTTTCATCTGAAAGAAAGGACAAATCGATCGGGGAACTGTCAGATTTATATGACAGAGCTACTGTAGGCTATAGTGGGGTAGCACATATGGGGTACAGTTTTCTAGGGTTTGCATTTGTACCCAACTTTCCCTTAGTCATTTCCATTCCTCCTTCTTTGTCTAAACTTTCTCCTGCCTAGCTAGGACTCTCCTAGCTATGGCTCCTAATCCTACCACTTACTTTCACATGGTATCAGAGCACAAGTTCAGGAAGCAAGAGTTCACAATAGGTAAGTAAGGCTAGAGCTAATCACAGAGGGCAAGTGAGGAGGAGGAGAGACTGTGGGGGAGAGAAGATGGGAGGCGACTGCTGACGCTGCAGACACACAGACGAGCTGCTGGCTCAGTGGCTACCGGAACAGCGCTCCGGACTACTGGGGTAACTGGCCCCGCGGCTAAAAGTAGCGGCAGACGAGCAACGGACCCACGGGCGACTGGCGACTACCGGAGATTGTAGCCTCCGGACTGCTGCTGCTGCTGACGACAAGACTGCTGCCTCCACTCGACCTCCCCAGCTGCCTAACGCCCTTCTCACACACCCCCTGCTCAAACCCTAGCCCTACACCCACAGCACCCCCTTAAACCCTAAACCCCAGACTCCCACACATCCACCCCCCTCAGCGAGAGCTGCAGCAGTGGGAGGCGAAGGAGGAGGAGGAGGAGGGAACGGCACGCAGAAGCTGCACCCCCATACCCCCCACCCCCAAACCCTAATCCAGGAGAACGGGCAGAAGGAGGGGTGGGGCGCCTTCAGAAGCACGGGGGACAGCGGGGAGGACAGGGGCAGCAAAGAACGGGCCGCCCACGGGCCTGGCACAGCCTCCCGAACCGCGCGCAGGCGGCCCGAGCCGCGCGCGGGCCTGGCGCAGCCCGTACGGGCCGCGCGCGGGCCTGGCGCAGCCCGTACGGGCCGCGCGCGGGCCTGGCGCAGCCCGTACGTGCCGCGCGCCGGCTGTACGGGCCGCGCGCAGGCCACGACGGGCGACGGGGGGCGACGCGCGGGTCCCCGTCGCCCGTCGTAGCGCCTCCTGGGGGCGACGCGCCGAGTGACGGGGCAGAAACCCGTCGCGCGTCTCGGGGCGCACGGCGGGCAGAAAACCGCCGCGCGCCTCGGGGCGCACGGCGGGCAGAAAACCGCCGCGCGCCTCGGGGCGCACGGCGGGCTGAAAAACCCTAATTTCGACGCCGCGCACCACGGGGCGCGCGGCGGACAGGGAGTAGCAGTAGCAGCGGAAGCAGTGAGGTGGGGCCCACAGGCCAGGAGCATATCGCTCTAATACCAGTAGTAGCACCCTCAGGCTCAGCATCCCCAGGCGTAGCACCCACACGCTCAGCACCCCCATAGTCAGCACCCCCAGGCTCAGCACCCTCAGCAGCACCAGAGTCACCAGTAACCTCGACAGGCTCGACTGCGTCTACCTGGGACACACCTGAAGGGGCAGGACCCTGAGGGGGGAGGGGGTCTACCGGGGGGGGACCTGGTACAAGGAAGAGCGGTGGCGGGGGGAGGGACGGAGTGCGGTAGGGGAAGAGGCGTGCTACTGGAGCTGGAGGTTCGTCGGCTGCTGAGGGTGCTGGTGCCGCGGGTCCCGGAGGTGCTCGTACTGGGAGTACTGGAGCTGCTGGGCCTGCGGGTACGACTGGAGCTGGAGCTGCTGAGGGTGTTGGCGCTGAGGCTACTGCTGTCGGTCCTGGAGGCGGTCCTGCTGGGGGTGCTCCTGGTGCTGCTGGAGGTACTGGAGCTGGAGGTGCTGCTGGCACTGGTGCTGCCGCTGGGGGTACTGGTGCTGTCCCTGCTGTGTCTGGAGTCGCCGCGCGGCCTTGGCCGTACTTCGTTCCGCTCCTTCAGCAGGTTCTTGGTCTCCCGCCTTCTACTGGTCCTCCTCCTCCCTTAGAGTGTCCACAGCCTGTCCCGTCACTGTTACAGTTACAGCCGGCCTCCCCACTGCCCGCTCCTTCTCCCTACACTGGTCCTACTGGAGGTCTTGCTGAGCGTCGTGAGCCTACGTCTCGCCCTGCGTCGCCTGTCCGTGCTGCTCGCACTAGTGGCCGTGGTTCGCGTCCGCGTCCTCCTCCTGTCCCTGGCACGCACCGGATGTCTCTGCGTCCGTCCACTGCTCCTCTGCGTGCCCCTTTGCCTTCTCCTCCTGAGTCCTCTCTTCCTGCTCTTCCTGACCCGGAGTCGGACTCTCTTCGTGCTGCCAGTCCTACTGTCACGCGTCTCCTTGCTACTGTTGTCACTGACCCTTCCTTTGAGTCCACTGCTGCGTCTGCCCTAGTTACTGAGCTCGTCGACTTTGCTGCTCGCTGTCGTCTAGACTACGCTGCTAGTCTTGTTGCTGAGTCTGAGTCTGTCTGTCCTCCGTCCGTCGGGGGTGAGTGTGCCCTTGGCACGGACGTCCTTGAGGACAGGCAGGAGGAGTTCCAGTGTTTGGCTGCTACTTCACCTCATCTCGTGTCCGTACTGCTTACCCCTGAGGGAGACCCGGATGCACTTGACATCCCGACTCCGCGCTCTTACGCGGAGGCGATAGAGGGTCCCTACTCCTCTCAGTGGCAGGCAGCTATGGACGCAGAGATGGCTTCCTGGAAGTCCACAGGCACCTACGTTGACGAGGTTCCCCCGCCTGGGGCGAACATCGTCAGTGGCATGTGGATTTTCAGGGTGAAGCGGCCGCCGGGTTCTCCGCCTGTCTTCAAGGCGCGTTACGTGGCTCGTGGCTTCAGTCAGCGGCAGGGAGTTGACTACTTTCAGACCTTCTCTCCCACCCCGAAGATGACCACTCTTCGGGTACTACTGCACATAGCTGCTCACCGCGACTACGAGCTGCACTCTCTTGACTTCAGCACTGCTTTCTTGCAGGGCAGCCTGCACGAGGAGATCTGGCTGCGTCGCCCACCTGGCTTCACTGGGTCCTTTCCTCCTGGCACCCAGTGGAGCCTCCGGCGGCCAGTCTACGGTCTCCGCCAGGCACCGCGTGAGTGGCACGACACACTGAGGACTACACTTGCGGCTCTTGGGTTTGCTCCCTCTACTACCGACCCGTCGCTGTTTCTACGCACCGACACTTCTTTGCCGCCGTTCTACATCCTCGTGTACGTCGACGACTTGGTCTTCGCCACAGCTGACACTGCTGGACTCGCCCACGTGAAGTCCGAGCTGCAGAAGAGACACACGTGCACAGACCTGGGTGAACTGCGTAGCTACCTTGGCTTGCAGATCACCCGGGACAGAGCACGCCGCACCATTACCCTGACTCAGTCACACATGGTGCAGCAGGTCCTTCAGCGCTTCGGCTTCACGTACTCCTCGCCTCAGGCCACTCCTCTGCCTACTCGCCACTCGCTCTCAGCTCTGCCTTCGGATGAGTCCGTAGAGTCGAGTGGCCCGTACCCAGAGCTTGTTGGCTGCCTCATGTACCTGATGACCTGCACACGACCTGACCTTGCATACCCTCTTAGCATTCTTGCACGCTATGTTGCTCATGGGAGACACAGACCGGAGCACATGGCTGCAGCGAAGAGGGTGTTGCGCTACTTGTGCAGTACGTCGGGCATGGGGCTTGTGCTTGGAGGGCAGAGTCCAGTGGTTCTCACTGGGCACGCAGACGCTTCTTGGGCTGACGACCAGGCTACGCAGCGGTCGTCACAGGGTTACACCTTCAGCCTTGGTTCCGGCTCTGTTTCGTGGCGGGCTACCCGCTCGTCTTCTGTTCTCGGCTCCAGTTGTGAGGCTGAGATCTACGCCGGGGCCATGGCTGCACAGGAGCTTCGCTGGCTCACCTACCTGCTGACTGACCTCGGAGAGCCGCCTCGTTCTCCTCCAGTGCTGTACATAGACAACAAGGCCATGCTGGCCTTGTGTCGAGAGCAGAGACTGGAGCACAGAACGAAGCACATTGCTCTCCGCTACTTCCTTGCTCGTGAGCTACAGCAGCGTGGTCAGCTGCGGCTTGCGTACGTGGCCTCTTAGGCCAACACTGCTGATATCTTCACCAAGGCACTTGCGCCTTGTGATCATCAGCGTTTCTGTACTCAGCTGGGCCTTGTGCCTACCTTGCCTCACTTGCTCACCCCTTGACCTTGTTTGTACTGTTGCATATATATATACACCTGCTCTTGCTTGTCTAGCCTTATATATATATGTAATCCTGCATGTGAACTGGCCTTGTGGCCTTGAACCTGTGCTCGGAATGTGTGGTGACTTTGTGATCCACCCTGAGCTTGCTTTGCTTTGCTTGACTGGTCTTGTGACCCCTTGTTCTCCCCCACTTTGCCTATGGGGGTGTGTCAGATTTATATGACAGAGCTACTGTAGGCTATAGTGGGGTAGCACATATGGGGTACAGTTTTCTAGGGTTTGCATTTGTACCCAACTTTCCCTTAGTCATTTCCATTCCTCCTTCTTTGTCTAAACTTTCTCCTGCCTAGCTAGGACTCTCCTAGCTATGGCTCCTAATCCTACCACTTACTTTCACAGGAACACGTTCGTCCACCACCCTCCCACCCCGCCCTCCCGCAAAATATGGGCTACAATTAAGTTCTCATCGGGGCAAACCTTGAAAAATTTTATCATACATAAAATGAAAATAAGATTATCACGAAATTTCATGATGCTTCAGGTTCTTTGTCGAGCACATACACACCAAATTTGGAAAAATCAGTGTATAGCACCACACCCTGAAAATAAGGGTATCAGGATCTTTAACGCCGATAACGTAGGGCCTGATCCTGGGGTATCATCATAGCACAGGTACCGTACGCCATAAGCGTAATTAAACAATGAATGGTACAAGTATATTATTTAGAGTCAGTCACTCAAGAGGGGCATTTGAGTTGAAACAATTAACGCGTTCACAAATAGCGCGTAAAATTGACACTTGCCCCTCTCCCGCAGCACTGCCCCGAGTCCCAAGCCCTTCACTTGACACGGCACAGGCAGGGCTTGCTGGGACGGGCAGCCATCCGCTCTCCCCCTTCCCGCTCCGCTTCATTTCTTCATCGCTCACGCGCGCCACACCGACGGAGCGCAGTAATGGTGGTGTGGGAATTTGCTGATTGCTGCTGGTGTGCCTTACAGCCAGGGTTGTGTGTCACAATGGTAACGCCCATTGCCGTAGCCCGTCGATACACCCGCACGGTCGTACCAAGTTTTCAAGTCTCGTTGCTCGAACACGTGGTGCATAGGAAATGAGAAATGATGCGTTGGAGCTCTTGCATTCAAGTTAATCCATAGCTGTATTTCCTGCGACGCTTCTCCGTTCGACGCGCTGCCATGGCGCTGCGAGAAGCTGCCGACCGTCCACGATGGTTATGGCTGACGATCGTGCTGTCCTCGGCGGTCCATGTCAACGCCGCGCCAAGCGCTAACGAAAGTATGCAAGACCGCTGTTCAGCACGAGGCTCGTCGCGTCTTTTAGTAGACAATTATTTAGACGTCTCAAAAGTCGCACAGCTGCGGCTGCTGGGGCTGGGCGTAATAAGGGTATCGTTTTCAGATGCGCGACATACGCCGTGTTTCGATCCGCGACTCGTAGTGGCGACGATCCGGCCCTGTGTAACAAGTGGCCAACGTAGCGATATCATCCAGTTTGATTCGAACCGGAATTGCGGACGCACCTTTCCAACGACGACGTTCTCTAGCTATAGACTATGCCCCCCCTCTTTCCCTGCTCGTTCCCCCTCTTTCGAGTTCCCGTACTCCTCATTATTCCCCTTATTCACCCGAATCCCGTCTATCCTCATAATTCTGTTTATCCTCCGTGAATCCCTAGGCGCCAGCGTTCAGATCGATTCTCCAGCGCCGCGGGTCCACGTGGAGGGCAGAGTGGCGGAGTTCGAGGGCGCGCTCAACTACCACGTGCCCTCGCTTTACAGGTCGACTCCTGATGCCTCAGCCTAAATACGAGTTTTGCTTTCTAGATTTCTCGCTTCCGGTTTCGTTACAGCTTGAATAAAAATAGCACTTTCCAAGAATTTTAAAGTGATTCCATTACAGCTTTTTAGGGTTTCAAGGTGTTGTCGTAGAACAAATTTCGTTTCTTACTGGGTGAGTTGCAAGCCGATTTCAGCTGCCACGTGGCAGTGCTCTACAGGGCCGTTGGAGATAACGTAAAAAAACAGTTATAGATGACTTCGAGATCAGCTGTATTGCTACGTGCCAACGCCGTTACAGTTTAATCCGTGTTGCTAAAGCAGTAATCTAATGTGGGAGGGAGCTGATACGCATGTCTCTTCTAGCAGTCCCCTTTGCTTCTCACTCACCCCTCTCGCCCCCCTCTCTCGTTCCCCTCAACCACCCACAGGAACCACCCCGAGCGATCCGCTCTCAAAATTCACCCGCTGGACTTCCCCCTGGATCTCCCTCGCTTACCCAACATAATGATGGGGTACTTCGAACACCTAACCCGCCAACCTCCACCATCGGAACCCCAGGGCGCTTCTCTCCTTCTCGCCTGCCACGGCCCGCCCTGCCTCTCCTTCGGCGCCTGCTCGGCGCGCTTCCCCAACGTGCAGGCCTGCTGGAACCCCCACCTGGTTGACGAACCCGAGGACACGCCCATCCCCCCTATAAACTGCCCCTTTAAGGGCACCAGCGGCGGGGAGAGTGGGAGAGGGGAGTTTGACCCGGAGTGCTCCCATCGGGAGGACTTCACACCACACGGGGGTTCGGCGCTGCAGGTATTTGAGAGTCTCTGTTGCGAATCCTCAAGAGGGAGAGAGGGGGAGGGAAGGGGAGGGGGAGCGGGGGAGGGAGGGGGAGGAGGAGGGGGGAGGGGAGTTTGACCCGGAGTGCTCCCATTGGGAGGACCAACGTGTTTGTCCTCCAGCCGATTGACTTACCTGTCAATGTCTTTAGAGGCGCCTCGAAAGTCGTTTCTTACATGGTGGCGCCTTAACAAACGTTTCTTCACCTGCTATGTTTCTATTGGGTGGGCGACACTGCAGGTGATGCGGCTGGAGGACGTGTTTGTGACGGACAACGGCTTTGCTGTCAACCTCTATTGATGTGCCTCAAAATTCGTTGTCGTTTCTTACACTCGTTTCCTATTGGGCGGGCGGTGCTGCAGGTGATGCGGCTGGAGGATGTGTTTGTGACGGACAATGGATTCGCTGTCAACCAATCCCATGTGTTCGTGCGCAACGGGTGCCGACGGTTCTGGAGAAAGGTGAAAGGTGTGGGAGGGTCAGCGTTGGGTGCGGGGTGTGGGAGGGGCTGCGTTGGGTGAGGGGTGTGGGAGGGGAAGGGGTAGGTGAGGGGCGTGGGAAGGAAGGCCAGGGAAAGGGTTGTGGGAGGATAAGGTAGGACAGGACAGGGGAGTTGTGAGACGTTTCAAGATAGGAGAGGGGATGCAAGAAGAAGTGCGTGCCAACGGTTCTGAGAGGCAGGTGATGGGGAGTGGGAGAGCTGATGGTAAGGGCTGGACATGAGTCATGCAGTGTTGAGAGTGTCATGTAATATGCTGTATGCATAATAATGCACTATAATGCACTGTACAGAAGTAATACACTGTATGCTCTTGCAGTATGGAACACGCAGTATGCTATGCAAGATAAATTATGCATTACGCATGGAATATGATGCATGCACTATGCATGTACGAGCATTCAACTGGGTGCACCTCAGGTTCAAGAACTTGTGCCACTTCGTTGTTGATCCCGTGCCCCCAGCAACGTGCAATGGCACCCACTGCCATACAGAACGCCACATTCTTCATGCGGCCAAACCCACCCCCATCCCACCTTTGCCCCTTCTACCCCCAGACCAGGTACAAGCAAGGGCACATGGCGCAGCACGTGCAGGGAGCGGCGTTCAACTGGGCGCACCTGATGGGGAAGAACTTCTTCCACTTCACCGTCGAGCTCGTGCCGCTCTTCCTCGTCGTCGCTCCCCTCATGCCCACGCTCAGAACGCTGCCGATAATCCTCAGGAAACCCCAGGTGGGTTCCAGGAAGTTGCATGGGCTTGACTCTTTCACTAGTCGCTCACAGATTGCTCCAGTTCACACAATGCCTCTGACTGTGTGGGAGACAGCCCTCATTGTTGCTTCATCCACTCCTCACACCGTCTTAATTGCCGCTCGCTCACTGGCTTCGCCGTCTGTCTCTTCTTTCTCCCGTACTGCAGTTCTGTTTTTAACTCCCTCCCTCAGTATCTCGCCGTTCTTTCCCTCCTGTGCGTGCGTGCGTGCGTGTGTGCATCGCCCGCCTCCCTCTCTCAGTGGCTGTACTGCGATAAGTGGGCGATGTCTCCTCTGGCTCTGCAGCGAGACAACAGGTGCATGTTATCTAAATACACCCTTGACCTCCCCTCTTCCTCTCCCTAACTCCTTCCTCTCGCCTCTCCATGCACCCATCAGTGGCTGTACTACGACAAGTGGGCGGCACCTGTACTGGGCATACAGCGAGACACCATGCGCATGCTGCCCATCTATTTCAATGACCTCATCCATGTCGACGTGCTTTACCAGGTAACGCGGTTACCACGTAACGTGGTTATTACCAAGTTTGCTTACATATGAGTTTGTGGTGATTTTTGTAACATACTTACTCTCTGATGCCGCTCATCTATTTCAATGACCTCATCCACCCACGTTGACGTGCTGTCCATGTAATGTGATTACCCAGGTAACGCGTTACCAGGTAATGTACTTCAAATGAGTTTGTCTCAATATTGTGCTGCCCATTTACTTCAATGACCTCATCCACACTGATGTGCTGTAACTGGTAACGCGGTTACCACATAACCTGGCTACTGAGCTCTGCCTCTCCACCCACACCATGCTCTCAAGCACGACTTCCTGCATCCCCAACCGCCCTCCCCCCAGCCTGCATACAAAGACTGCGACCATCCCTGCCCCTCCCGCTGGCAATTGCTGCGCAGTACCCACCTGCTGCACCCCTCTTCAACCCGCCTTTCTCCCTCACCCCTCCCATTTCTTTCCCTCTCCAACACCCCCCTCACCCGCCCTCCTCACCAGCCCATCTACGGCGACCATCCCAGCCCTTCACTCTGGCAGCTGCTGCAGCGCCGCCACCTCCCGCACCCCACTGGCCTCCCCCTCTTCAAACCCCTCTCCTCCCCCACCTCTCCCATTTCTTCCCCACTTGACCCCCTGCTTCCCTATCCACCAGCCCATATACCAGGGCTGCGACCGTCCCACCCGTCTCTCTGGCAGTTGCTGCGGCGCACCCACCTCCTCCACCTCGCCGGAATCCCCATCTTCAGCCTCCTTCCCCCCCCCCACCTCCCTTTCTTCCCCCCCCCAACCTCCCTCTCCCCCCCCCCAACTTCCTCCCCTCCCTCCAGCCCATATACCAGGACTGCGACCATCCCAGCCCGTCGCTCTGGCAAATCCTGCGGCGCTGCCACCTGCTGCACCCACCTGTCCCCCCCTCTTCAATCCCCCTCCCCTTTCCTCCCCCACCTCCCGCACCTCCGCCACCTCCCTCCCCCACCAGCCCATATACCAAGATTGTGATCGTCCCAGCCCGTCGCTCTGGCAACTCCTGCGCAGGCGCCACCTCCTCCACCCCTCTGGCCTGCCTCTCTTCAACCCTGACTGGACCTACCGTCAACATCACGCGCCCCTCTCTGCCTCTGAGGCGCGCGCCTTCCCACCCGACTGGGTGGTGGTGCTGGCGAGTCGGCCAGAGGGCGGGGCGAGGGCGCTGGTGAACAAGGGCGACGTGGAGGGGGAGTTGGTGCGGCGCTTTGGGCGAGAGCGAGTGGTGGTGTTTGACAGGTCCATGCCCATTCTGCAAGGTGAGTTGGTGTGTTTTGAGACGTCTCGTTGTGGTGTTGTTGACCTCATGCCTTCTGAATTTTAACGAACGCCGCTCATTTCCTTTCCCCCCCACTCTCTTCCCCCCAACCCATTCCTCCAGCCCGGTCGTTTTTCCGGCGCACACGGTTCCTCCTGGGAGTGCGCGGAGCAGCTCACCAACACCACATGCCCGAGGGGGCCGCGCTGCTCGAGCTGCGCCCTAGGGGCTGCCGCATCACTGCTGTTTCTGATTTCCCTTTCTTCCTCCTGCTATCCCCTGCTTCATCCGGCTCCCCCCTATCTCCCCTGTTCCCTTATCCCCCTTCCCCGCCTCTTGGTCCCTCAGCCCGCCTGCTATTCCGGCGGACCCGCTTCCTCCTGGGGGTGCACGGAGCAGCGCTCACCAGCACCATCTTCATGCCCAAGGGGGCCGCGCTGCTCGAGATGCGCCCTAGGGATTGCCAAATCACTGTGTTCCACCCACTTGCTGCCGCCTGTTCCATCGCATACCATCTGCTGCTAGCTCAGGGGAATTGTTCTTCTCCTGCAGTGGTGGATTTGCCGAGCGTGGCTCGGGTGATTGATATGGTCCATACGCGCTTAATTGAGGACGAGGGGGTTTTGTTGGATACGAATGATGCAGCAAGTCATAATGGAAATAATGCAACAAGGAAATAAAGCCGTTTTAACACATTATTCTGTACTACGGATAACTTTCTGCTAAGAATTTGTGTGTGTGTTTGTGTGTGTGTGTGTGTTTTTTTTTTTTTTTTTTTTTTTTTTTTTTTTTTTTCGGGTACAGCAGTAAGACCATTTTATGCTGATCACAATTTCTATCAAGAGAACACAACAGCATGACGATGGCGAATTTCTCTTATATCGCGAGAGTTGGAGCAAGCTCCTCTCAAACCTTTTCCAATCGTTCTGAAAACACTCTTACCTTGCGGATTCGAGTCTTGGTTGCTAACTGTGACTGGTGAATCAGAGAACGACTTGGTTGGTGCCAATCCAAGAAGATTCACGACGACACATGATGTGACGGCACATGCGACGACATATGCGACGGCATGGGTCACTCATCGCGAATTAGTAGCAGCGTTGGAAAGCGAATTCACTGATGTTTCGCGCGGGAGTGAAAGATCCGCAACGCAGGTGAACTCCACAGCAGCGCAAGGCGGGATGGGCGACAGCAAGTGAGAGCGACGAGGGGTGTCGGATCGAGCAAGTGGGAGTTAGATTCCGAATCGTGAGTGCGCTGCCAGGCTCGTCGTTACAGAGGAACGCGACGCGATGGCGACGCGAGAAGGGAGGGCGGACGGGGGGGATTCGGCGAGTGGCGGAAGGACGGAGGAGGACGGCGGGGCGGCGACAGGGGCGGAGGGCGAGGCGAGGGGGAGGCGTGGCGGGCTGTACCTGCCGCGGAAGGGAACCGCAGCATACGCGCTGCTGATATGCCTCCTCAGGTGCCTCCCCACATACCGTTTCAGGTGCGCCAGGTGTGTTCATCTTGCCTCATCACCGGCAGCCCGCAGTCATCTCAACATTACCCTCTCAGGCGCGGCTCTTCTGTGCGCATGTCCGTGACTGTGTTGGCGCCACACTGCCTCACACGCGCCCCCCTCACTGCACCCCCTCCGTCCGTCCCTTCCACTCTTCCACTCTCACTCCCCTCTCCCCACCCTCCCCTTCTTTCTCTCAGCAGCGCTGGCTGGCATGGGCAAGGGGAAGCTGATAGCAGCAGCGGGCGGAGAGGAAAGCCCCATTTCATATCCCGCCTTCCTTCTCCACTGCTTCCCCACTTCGGAACTTGCAGAAGGCAGCAGCAGGAGCAGGGTAGCATGGGCAAGGAGCAGCTGGTAGCAGCAGTGGAAGGAGCGGAAACCCCCCCCAATGTTCCCCCACACTCCCCCCTCCGCCGTTGCCCCTCTTCCCGGCCAACCTCCTATGGGCAGGGGGCAGCAGCAGGGGCAGGGCAGGATGAACAAGGAGCAGCTGGTGGGAGCAGTGGAGGCGAGCGGACTCACAGACACCAACATGCGGTGAGCGAGAAGGGGGAAGCGGGGATTGCATGCGGTGAGAAGGGGGGCATGAAGTGATTTCCGGAGTTTTCAACAGCAGCTGGTGGCAGCAGTGGAGGCGAGCGGACGCGAAGACAGACACCAACATGCGGTCAGTGAAAGGGGGGGAGGAGGCTGCTTGCGATGAGAGAAGAGGAGAGGGGGAGGGGTTGCATTCAGTGGGAGAGGTGAGGATGTGTGGTGAGTGAGAGGGGCATGGGCATGCGACAATCTGATCTGATGCCACGTGGCATGGGTGTGGCACGTCTCTGGCATGTAGTACCTGTCACATGGCGTGCCAGTCCTTCGCCCACGCGGGTCACGCCTTTTGAGGTGCCTCAAAACTCCCCCTCTATACGCCCCAACACAAGCCCGTCTATACCGCGCCGGGGTGTGCCGTGCCAGTCTTTTGCCCAGGGGAGCCACAAGCTTTTGTTTCGCCTTACAAGGTGTCCCTCTCTCCCCTTGTGCGCCCCACCCCAACCCAAGCCCTTCCATCCCGCGCCGGGGTGTGCCGTGCCAGTCGTTCGCCCACGTGGGGCACAACTTGTACTGCGGCTGGAGTGCACTCACCACTCTCAGGCAGCACGCGCTGGTGGACTGGCAGAAAGGCCGCCCTTCTCTGTGAGTGTGCTGCTCTGGGTGTGCTAGCGCCTATGTTCTGTAGGAGCATTGCTGTGGTTACATGCATCCCCATGTGCTAGTGCTGCACACAACTTCTACTGTTGCTGGAACGCATTCACCACGCTCAGGCAGCACTCACTTGTCCACTGGCAGCAAGGCCGTCCCTCCCTGTAAGGGCATTTCTTTGGTCGCGTGCGCTGTGAGTGTGCTTTCCGGCCTGCTCTGAAAGAGTGTTGCGTGAGTCATGCATCCTTATCCGATAGTGCCTCACACAACTTCTACTGCGTTTGGAACACACTCACCCACTCCTGAGCCTCTCCGCCCCCTGCCTCTCCGCCCCCTGCCTCTCCGCCCCCTGCCTCTCCGCCCCCTGCCTCTCCGCCCCCTGACTCTCTCCCCATGCTTCTCCGCTGTCTTGCCTGCTGGCCTGCCAGCTACTCCCTCACACCGGCAGGGGTGGCGGCAGCACAGATGTGCATGGAGCGAGCAGGGCTGCAGGCAGGTGTGTGTGGGGAGGGGAGTGGGCAGGGGTGAGTGGTGAGAGGGATGAGTGGCGAGAGGGGTGAGGGGGCAGGTGTGTGTGGGGAGAGTGATGAGTGGGTTGCAAAGACGTGAATGCCTCTCTGCTCCATGGCCATGCCCGCATGATGCATACCCCATGCCCATGCCCATGCCCCATGCCCATGCCCATACGGTACCTCATGCCCCATGCTTGATGCGTTGCATGGGGTGCAAGCAACCCGTCAACCCATCAACCCGTGAGGTCCGGCCCCCTCTCTCGCCCTCGAATCCCTTCGTTATCCCTCTTCTTTCTCCACCGCATCCCCATGCTGCGCCACGCATGCCACTCAATCCCGCTGCCCACTCTATCAACCACTGCCTTCCTCCCTGCCTGCCTCTACCTCCCTGCCTGCCTCTACCTCCCCACCTTCCTTCCATGCCCAACTGCCATCTCTCTCACCCCCAGACTCTCTCGTGCAGCCATCAGATGCTCCACCGTCCTCTACCGCTCTGCCACCCTCCACCACCGCTCTGCCATCCGCCCCTCCACCAGCAGCTATGCCTCCATTACCCGCCCACCAGGTGAACCTCGGTCATTCTCGACCTTCTTCCGCCCTCTCGATGTGCATTCAATTCCTCCCTCCCCTCCCTCCTCCTGCATCCCCTTCCTCATGGCCGATGTCTGATTTCTTCCACTCCCTACCCCACCCTTGTGGCTCTGCGTGCCCCTCCCTTCCTCCTTCCTGCCTCCTTCCATTTCTTTGCACAATCACTTATGACAGCGAACTAGCACCAAAGTTGCTCTCACATCTGTAGAAGCAACCAAACTGCCTCTGGTACAAACAAGGTGATTCATGGGGAAATTGATCGCAAGAGAGAATTAGAAGTTCTTCGAGGATTTGGTCTTAGCCACTGGAAATTGTGGAACCCGGAATTGAAAATGCCGAGCTTTTGCTTGAGAACCATCGCATTTTGTCAGACAAATTTGACCTGTCCCAAACCACTTCCCACAGAATCCGTGGCTTGAAACGCATTTCGATGCAATCTACTTGCATTGATACGAGTCAATACAAATTGTACAGGTAACGAGTCAAGTCGGACGCCCCCAAGTTGGCTGGCTCGTCGCTGCAGGTTAATCAACAGGTCATCTCTTTGAAGTGCCCCAGGAACTTGAGGTGGGGGACGGGGTCGAGTCGCCGACTCGCCAAGTTAGTAAAGTCGAGTTCGCTCGGCTTACAGTCGAGCCGTGTCGGAACAAAAGGTGTCGGAACTCGACTCGTTGCCCATGCCCCCCACTCTCTTCTCCATTTCTCTCAACCCCTTGACTCATGTGTACGTGCATTGCACACAGACAGCAGAGGAGCAAGAAGATAGACCCAATACCAGGAGGCAGGAGGCAGGAGTCACAAGGGGTGGGAGAGGGGGGAGGGGTCGAAAGCGGCAAGCAAGCGGTGCTGCCGATGGTGGCGCGACTGTAGCAGCCGGAGCCGCAGTAGCAGCAGCAGAAGCAACAGTGAGTGCGGCAGCTACAAGGAAGAGAAGAGCACAAGCACCAGTAGCAGCAGCAGCGGTAGGAGAAGCACCAGCACTACTTAGTAGCAGAGTTGGAGGAGGAGCAGCAGCAGCAGGAGAAGGAGAGGCAGTGCTGGGAAGTGAAGCCTCGGCATTCCTGGCATCGCTGCATGCATTGAGTGGTGCGTGCATGCAAGTGAATGGCGTTTATATGCATATTCTTCTCTCCCAGCTCTCTGTCCCTGATTTCCCTTCCTCCTTGCTTCTCCGTCTTGCCATTCCTTCCCTTCTCTCACATTGTTTTCATCTTCACCCTTCCATACAACACTCCCCTGCTTCTAAACAACTCTCAGGCCGACCAGAAGACTGCCACAATTCCTCTGCAGCACCACACCTTTTTCCTTCACAGTCCGCCCTCCTCCCACCACTCCCCACCTACCGCCCATCGCTATCCACGTTCCCCCCATCATCGACACCCACCTGCCTCTCACTCGCGGAGACAACTGACATCCGCCTGCCCCCCCTGTCAGAGGGGCAGCGCTTCTGCGATGCGTACCGGGTGGTGCTGCTGATTGACAGCCGGGAGAAGGGGTGAGGAGGGGTGGGAAGCGGTGCGGAAGTGTGCGAGGGGTGAGGGTTGGGTGTGAGGTGTGAGGGCAGGACGGGGATAGACAGCAGTTTTGTGGCACGTGCTGCTGAGTGGTGCGTCTGATATACAATTCGGAGAAGGGGTGAGGAGGGGTGAGGACGGGGTGAGAGTGGTGAGAATCGATGGAGTAGATCAATGCAGCCGTATTTGACGACTCTCATTCCTCCTTTCTCCCTCCTTCGGTCCTTCATCATTGTAAGCTAGTTTTCCCTTTCCTCACCTCCTTGTCAACTTCACCCTGCTCTTCCACTCCCATCCTCTTATGTTTCTCCTTACTCCCGCTCTGCATGCTCATCTGGCGAACCGGGCAGTCCAGCTCACTGCATTTCTCTCTCCCCGCACCTTCCATCTGCCCCACAGGGCAGCACAGCTCACGGAGTTCCTCACTAGAGTGGAAAAGCTTCCGGCACAGGTACCTTGCCTCGCTGCCTTGCCTTCCTTCTGTGCCTCGCCGCTATGCTCTGCTAGTGGGCTTTGCCGCTTTGCTAGTGTAGATTCATAATAGGCCGAGTAAATGCTTTACTCCCTTCATATCTGCTGCGCTCCTGCCCGCATAACCGGGTGACAACACCCACTTGATTCAATGCTTCTGGGGGATTCTTAAAGGGGTGCTCCCCAGCATTTGACTCCTCACCCCTTCCCACCTCACCCCTTCCCACCTCACACCTTCCCACCTCACCCCTTCCTACCCTCACGCCCTTCCTACCCTCACGCCCTTCCTACCCTCACGCCCTCCCTACCCTCAAACCCTACTCTCTCGCCCTAACCATTCCTGCCCTCCGCGCGCACACTCTGGCCCTCCTCAGTCTAATTCATAACCCCCCCAACCCCACTCCCACCTGCTGTCATCACCACCAGGTCGCATCTCTGCCTGTGTGCGACGCCTTCTGGGTGGCTCAGCTCAGCCCCTCACCCCCATCCTCATTCACTGCACCGCCCCTCTCCCCCATCCTCATTCACTGCACCTCCCCTCACCCCCATCCTCATTCACTGCACCTCCCCTCACCCCCATCCTCATTCACTGCACCTCCCCTCACCCCCATCCTCATTCACTGCACCTCCCCTCACCCCCATCCTCATTCACTGCACCTCCCCTCACCCCCATCCTCATTCACTGCACCTCCCCTCACCCCCATCCTCATTCACTGCACCTCCCCTCACCCCCATCCTCATTCACTGCACCTCCCGCCACCCTTTTCTGAGAGTTCTCAGAAGCTCCATCCCTCTCCTTCGTGGCTCCTGCCTGCTGCCATCACCATCACGTCGCAGCACTGCCGGTGGGAGATGCCTTTTAGGTGACTCAGCCCCTCACCTCTCCGAACACACCCCCTTCCCCGTCCACCCCTTTTCAGCTTTCTCACAAGCCCCCTCCTCGACTTCCCTGCTCCCGAGTGCTACCATCAGGTCGCAGCACTGCCTGTGGGCGATGCCCTCTGGGTGGCTCAGCCGCTCACTCCACCCGCCTCATCCACTGCACCCCCCTCCACCTCCTCCTCCTCTCCACCCTCCTTCGCCCCGCCATCCTCCTCCTCTGCTATTCCCCCATCTGCTCTCCCTGCTGCTTCGTCTTCCACTGCTCTGCCCGGCTCTCTGTTCTGCTTGGAGTGGGTGGCAGAGCGCAAGAGAGTGGATGACTTGTGGCAGTCAATCAAGTCAAAGCGATTCAAGGATCAGAAGCTGAGGATCAAGGTGGGTCTAGCTGGTGTTGGAGAAGTCTCATTAACCAGCCAATACACTCTATTGCTTCCCCTGCTCTGCCCGCCCCACTGTTCTGCTTAAAGTGGGTGGCGAAGCGCAAGGGTTGGGTGGATGACTGTGGGGGTCAATCAAGTCAAAGTGATTCAAGGGCCAGAAGCGGAGGATCAAGATGAGTTGACTTGAAAGGGACCGAGTGCTAGGGATCAAGGTGGGTTGACTTGAAAGCAATAAGAAGCTGAGAAAGAAGGTTAGTGGAAGTCACAGTCAGTGAGTGTGTAGTGGGAGTGAGACAGAGTGACAGAGTGAGGGTGGAAGAGATGGAGTGATTGAGAGAGGGAGAGGTAGGAAGCAAGTGGTAAATGGGGCGAACAGGCGTTCCATCCTTCCTCACATCGCTCGCTGCGTCCGACCCTTCCCCTTCCCTTTCCTCCTCTCTGCATTGCAGCCTTCTCATGCTCATAAGTACACGTTTCCTCTTCTTCCTCTTGCACCTCTTTGGCCCTTCTCTCTTTCCCCATCTCAGCACTGTGGTCTTCGCCGCCCAATCTACGTGGTGGAGGGCAATCTGGACGCCAGCAACGGAGCGGAGAGCCTGCGCACGGCGTACGTTGTCTCTTTCTCCATCTCGTTTCATCACCCTTTGTGTGTCATGACACCTTTGGTATCCCCAGACCCCGACCAACGTTTCTTGTTTCCTTCTGAGAATTTTGTAAACTACGGGGTCTCCTAGTCCAGCATCTCTACAAATTGCTCACCACATCATGGTGACTCGGGGTCTATACAAAATCTATGTAGTCTTTTTAAATTTTGCAAAAGCTTCGCCCACTCCAGCATCTCAACAAGTTTCCATCTTTTACACCCCCCCCCATCTCATCAAATGCCTTGCCCACACTCCCTGTCTTACTTTCCTCTACATTTCCCTTCCACTCCTCCCTTTGTACATACCACCAGGTCTGTCCAAACACTGACTCCATAATGGCGTTGACGTGCATCACACCACGTACATCGCGACCCACTCTCTCGTATCTCGTCTTGTCTTATCACCTTTCCGCACCACCCCACTACCAGGTCCGTCCAAACACAAGTGCACGGCGGCTTCGATGTGCATCACACCACGTGGATCGATACCCCTTCTCTCCTATCTTTGTGCCTCATACCCCCTGCCCCTTCACTTCATCCATACATGACACCAGGTCCGTCCAAACATTAGTGCACGACGGCTTTGACGTGCATCACACCACGTGCATCGCTCACACGCGCCGCCACTACGCTCATCTCACTCGGGCCATCGCTGACATCTGCAACCGCCTCTCCACCGCACCCCACCACACATCCTCGAGTCAGATGCCCCATTCTCCCGCACTCCATGCCTCGTCCTCCTCTCCCACTCCTCGCGACTTCTGCGTCACCTTTGATCAATTTCTGGATGACTGCCGATCCTCACAGGCTCTCTCAGTGGGGGATGTCTTTGGTCACATGCTGCTGCAGGTGGGCTTTAAGTTGATTCGACACATCTTGCAGCTTGATGACTGTTGAGTTGACTCAAAAGTCATCTCACACGCTCTCTTAGTGGGGGATGTATTTGGTCATAGACTGCTACAGGTGGGCTTTGGATCGGATCAACAGAGCATTGCTGCATGTGAGTTTTGAGATGTCTCAAGAATCATGTTGCTGCAGGTGCGTTGAGGCCGCATGCCTCTGCAGGTGCTCTCGAGTCAACTCAACCAATATGACTTTACACGTGCTGCTGCAGGTGAGTTGCTGCCACATCCTGCTGCATGTGTGATTGCAAAGTCACTCGCGAAAACTCTCCCGCTCGATCGCAATACAGTGTCTTCTTCACATGTGTGTGCCTTCCACAGTGCTGATCCACTTTTGCGACTCCTCAAAAACTGGTCCATCTAGCCAATCCTCTCCTCTCGCCCCCCTCGTGTGTGCTGGCCTCACAGTGTACACGAGGCCACAACCGTCCTGCACCACCACACTCCATTCCCGTCTCTCCGCTCCCACCCCGTCCCTCTTGTCGCGTGTCATCTTCCCCCTCGTCCCGTCAGGTCCGTGGCCTCTCAATGGACATGGCTAGCCATCCTCCGCAGCTACTCTTCATTCCTGTCTCTCCAATTACACTCCGTCCCCTTATCGTTTGCTGTCCTCCACTGCGTTCCCTCAGGTGCGGGGCCTCACAGTGGGTATGCCTCGGCCATCCTCCGCCACCACACTCATCCCCATCTCTCCACTCCAACCCCGTCTCTTTTCCACTTGCCACCTTCCTCTGCATCCCATCAGGTGAGAGGCCTAACAGTGGACATGGCTACGGCCGTCCTCCGCCGCTACCCCTCCCTGCCTGCCCTCCACGCTGCCTACACCTTTCTCGTGCGTCCGCCGTTCTCCTCCTTTACCTGCATCGCAATTCCCTACTTGACTTCGCATACCCGGCTACACTAACGTCAATCCCAAGATAGTTTTTGTACGGTTGCTTATATTCTCCTTGTTCCTATAAACAGTCACATATCTCCACTCTCCTTTCCACCCAACGGAAGAATTGAGGTGTCTGTATCATGAGGCACCCGCCTCATGTCATCCTGTACTCACCATCTTGCCCATTCACCCCTCGCCTACCGCCTTCTAACTCTCCTGCACTGTCCTGCACCTCTCCTACCCCCGCCTGCCCTTGCCTGCATCTCTCTCTTCTCCGCTCTCTGTCTCTCACCCTCTCGCCCTCTCCCTAATCTCTCTTCCTCACCTGCATTGGCAGGAGGGAAACCGGGAGGCACAGGAGCGACTGCTGTGTGGTGTGAATGTGAAGGGAAAGGCTGTCGGTGCTGCAATCAGTAAACGGGTTCATGAGCTCTTATGTACACCCATCTAATTACAAGCACTTGGATTTCCTGTAATACCGTAGATTGTACTATGGAATGTGTAAACTACAGTTATGTAATGCCAAGTTACGTGTGTCAATAGACTACAAGTGAACTCTCTGTTTAACTGGCAAGAAACGGAGCACATTCACAACTTGACTAAGTTGACGCATAAGTATTTTTGTAAATATAAACAAAAACATAATGACAGACAGCCGCCCTAGCTCAGTTGGTAGAGCGCAAGGCTCTTAACCTTGTGGTCGTGGGTTCGAACCCCACGGGAGGCGCGAAAATTAAGTAAAGGTACCTGTTGGCCAAGGTCGTGAGTTGGTACATTTGGGCCAGTTCCAAGCCTACCACTTCTGGCCAGAACCTGACCGCAATTTGGTGGCTGCACAACAGGCCACTTAGGGGATACTAAGGTGGGTACACACCTCCCGCTCTAGCCTCTAGGCAAACATGAACCCCACTTCCGTGCCATTTGCATACCACCTTTTTTAAAGGCATCACTTTGGGGTTGAGAAAGTTCAGGCTTGCGACATTCACCAACAAGAAAAACCAGTTACGTTGTTCAGAATCCTAACCAACGAACTCAATTCGATTAGGCGCTTTGCCTGTGTTAATGTGCTACATCTCCTGCCTTGTTTTCCTGAACCTATTTTTCCATTACATGATTTGCATGTACACCCCCTTTTCTTACCGAATCTGTGGCTGGATGTTCTTATCTTCCGTCATAACCTTTTTGCCAGGCCTAGCGGTAATTGTCAATATCAATCCGACAAACCCGCCCCTGTTCAACCCGCATAACAAGAACGCCACTTTTTCAATATGTTATGTTCGACATTGAAGCATTTCTCAATGTTGCTAACGTTATTAATTATGTTGCTAACGTTATTAATTATGTTGCTAACGTTATTAATTAATCATTAATTATTGCATCGTGCAGCACTGGATTGGTAGCGTTGAACTTCACATTTCATTTGGCAGGGTCGACACGTGCAAACGATGGGGATTCGATTCCTGTTAGGCAACGAGCAGTTTTGAGACCAGCTGGGCCACTTATGAAGAGAGTGTCCAAAGCTGAAACATGGTAAGAAGGACGATAGAGAAGGGTCGGGAATTGTGAGTCGCCAGTTGCAGTCGGGCTCAAAACTGGCGAGACTCTGTCGCCCGACAATCACAATTCACATTGAGTCGTGGTACCATTCCATGCTATCAATCGCACTCGACCAAATAAGGTGGATGAAAATATGGATCACCCTGTGCAGGTGGTAGGGAGGATTAGCAGATATAGAAAAAAAATCGATGGTGGGGCTAGTGGCATCATCTGTCAGAATGTTCTATTTCTCTAGTCTGCAGTGGGGTACTCTATAGTGAGTACAGCCCTGTTAGGGCTTGCTATATGTACTCAACTGCCTGCTAGTGAAACCCCTCCTTTTGCTTATTCTATCTTGCCTAACTAGCCCAAACCCTAGTTATGGCTCCTGCATTCTAGCTGCTATTCTGATATGTTATCAGAGCGGTTACGCTCCTGGCCTGTGGGCCCTCCTGCTTCCGCTGCCATACTGTCTGTCGCGCGCCCCGTGGCGTGCGATGTTCAAATTTTCTTCCCGCCACGCGCTCGGGGCGCGTGGCGGTTTTCTGCCCGCCATGCGCTCGGGGCGCGTGGCGGTTTCCTGCCCGCCGCGCGCCCCGGGAACGCGCGGCGGTTTCGTCGCCCGTCGTGGCGCCCCGGGGGCCCGCGCGCTGTCCCCCCCCGTCGCCCTTTGTGGCGCCCTGGGGGCCCGCGCGTCGCCCCCTCCCGTCGCCCGTCGTCGCGTCCCGGGGGCCCGCGCGTCGCCCCTCTTCCCGTCGCCCGTCGTCGCGTCCCGGGGGCCCGCGCGTCCCCCCCTCCCGTCGCCCGTCGTGGCGTCCCGGAGGCCCGCGCGTCGCCCCTCCTCTCGTCGCCCGTCGTCGCGTCCCCGGGGCCCGCGCGTCGCCCCTCCTCCCGTCGCCTGTCGAAGCGCCCCGGGGGCCTGCGCGCCGCCCTTCCCGTCGCCCGCCACGGCGCCCTGGGGGCCCGCGTGTCGCCCCTCCCTCTAGTCGCCCGTCGAAGTGCCCCGGGGGCTGCGCGCCGCCCTTCCCGTCGCCCGTCGCAGCGCCCCAGGGACCCGTGCGCCACCTGCGTTTAGGATAAGGGGTGGCGGGTATGGGGGTGGCGGGTGTGTGAGCCGTCCCCTGCTCCTCCTCCTCCTCCTCCGTCTCCCACTGCTGCAGCTGCCGCTGAGGGGGGTGGGTGTGTGGGAGCCGTGGGAGTGGTGCTAGGGGGGTGACATGGGAGTGGAGCTAGGGGTGCAGCAAGGGGTGTGTGAGCGGGAGTTTTGGGACAATGGGGGAGGTTGAAGGGGGGTAGCCGCCGTGGAGCCAGCAGCTCCAGTCGCCCGTGAGACCGTTGCGCCAGTCGCCCGTGAGCCCGTCGCTCCAGTCGCCCGTGAGCCCGTTGCTCTAGTCGTCCGTGAGTCAGTTGCTCCTGCCGCTCGTCTAGCCGCGGAGCCAGTTACTCCAGTTGCCCGTTTGCCAGTTGCTCCAGTTGCCAGTGTGCTAGTTGCTCCAGTTGCCCGTGTGCCAGTTGCTCCAGTTGCGCAGTGTGCCAACAGCTTCAGCTGCCGCCCACCATCTCCTCTCCTCTCACAGTCTCTCCTCTTCCTCACTTGCCGTCTGTGACTGCCTCTACCTTTGCTTGAACTTGTGAACCTGCTTTGTGACTACTTGTTGTGCTGATTATACTCCACTCTGACTATGGGGGTGTGTCAGAATGTTCTATTTCTCTAGTCTGCAATGGGGTACCCTATAGTGAGTACAGCCCTGTCAGGGTTTGCTATATGTACTCAACTGCCTGCTAGTGAAACCCCTCCTTTTGCTTATTCTCTCTTGCCTAACTAGCCCAAACCCTAGTTATGGCTCCTGCATTCTAGCTGCTATTCTGATATCATCATCAATGTCTCAACAACCAAACAATATGGAATTAATTTTGAATAGGTGTCCGTGTGAAATTGACGTGCAACTGGTGGATGAAATACCGCTCGAAATCCAGAAACGTTCGGATGCAGTGTGGCGACGATTTTGGGTTTGGCATCAAGATGTTGGCGACGGCATTAGATGGTTGGACGCAATTGGCTACAGCGATTAAATCTGAGGATCGACTAGGCGACATGAGCATGCACGACGCTCTGAGCAAAGGGATGGTGCACGCTTCCAAAATGGACGGAGCCGAACCTTGCGATAACACATGTCAACGCCGTCACAATAAGCAAGTGGTCATGCAAGGAGCGAAAGCTACGCCGTCCATCTGTACGAGGTGTCCGGTGGCAAAATAACCGTGTGCCTTGACAAACCCTGCAACTGTCCTTGAAGACCTAATGAGCATCACTAAAAGGTATCCCAGAATTTTTGTGGATGACCTACGTGCAGGCCTGCCAAATCAACGACCATAAGATCACCGGATACAGCTGGATACCAGCGCGCAGCCAACTCTTCAATCATGGTGGTGTTTAAGTCAGCCAAAATTGGAGGAGTTGCGAAGTCAACTTGACTATCTCATTACAAAAGGTTTCATATAGCCGAGCACGTCAACCTTTGCCGCCCCTATTCCGTTCATGCTGAAGAAGGACAGTTGCCTATGGATGTCTATCGATTACAAAGCATTAAATCGAGGGATGGCCGCTAACCTATCCCTCAAGCGGACAACCTGCTAGATCAACTTCGCGGAGCTCGCTGCTTTTTCGAAATTGATATGTTATATGGCTACCGTCACATTTGTGTGTTCGCCGACAATTGCCTGAAGTCTTCTTTTTGCACACACTCCAGCACTTATGAGTGTACAACGATGTTGCTCGGACTGATTAACACTCACAGACTGTTTCGGACAATGAATGTGTGTTTGGAGACCTACTTGACAAAACAACCATCGTATACCTTTACGATGCTGTGGTGTACAGGAAGACTCAGGAGCAGCGTTTTCAATTATTTGGAGGAAGTTTTCCAATGCTTGCAGCAAAACCGTTTATTTACGAAGGTCTGTAAATGTCAGTTATTAGAATTGGAGCTAGAGTTTTGGGGACACGTGGTCAAGATCGATCCCAAAAAAATAACTGCTATTCAGAAATGGAAGCCGCCGGCAACCGTCACTAGGTTGTAGAGTTTTCTGGGGTTCGTAAATAATGTGTGAATATTTTTTCCCGAATATGGCAAGGATCACCATACCCTTGACTACTCCTACATAAAAATGTCCCTTTCTCCCTGGGGGAGAGGAAGCAGCTGGCTTTCGACAAGCTAAAAAAACATTTGAGTTCATCCCCTGTGCTTCGGCTTGTGAATCCATCTCGATTGTTCAACGTAATAACCAAAGCCAACAATTTCACCATCGGCGCCGTACTATAACAAGACTTTGGCAACCGGTTGCAACCAATTGCATATAGACAAGCCCAGCCAGGCTCAAAGAGATGCTGCAACGAAGCGGAAACTGAACCATCAGGTGGATTGGTGGCACGGGAAGAAATCGTTGTACATTTTTTTTTTTTCAAAGAGCTTCAGAATGTTGTGTGGGTGCCAGTAGCCGTGGACAAGGCAAGTTGTATTGAGGTGCCGCGGTTGGCTACGGGGGAAGGGCTACGGGCATGGTTGCGGAAACGGGGTTTGGTGAAAGAGGCGAAGGCATCACTCAATTCGGCTCTTGTGCAATCGGTCTGCACAGCCGTGGGCACCATTGCCTACGTACACATAACACTTGATGAAGCAAAGTGGAAGTTTGCGGAGCTGAGAATGGTGCGAAGATTGGGAGGGAAACAAGGGGTTGCAGATGTCTCAATGGCTTATGCTAAGGTGTGATCTGGCTTAACAGGAGATAGGAAGACCACTGCGATTGATGATGTGGTTGACGAGGCGGAATTGGGCAATGCACAAGATGACGTGCAGTGGCCAGATGAGGAGCTTTGGAGTTACGATTTGCGTCCAGTGCACGACGCGCGGCCCT